TCTAGGGGGCTCCACAGCAGACCCGCCGGGGTTGCTAGGGTAAAAATCTTCCGACGATCGGGGACGCGGCGCGCACACACCTAATGGAATGGATATGAGCAACACATCTCGAAGAACAACAGTTACAACGGTGAGTAACCGTCTTTTTTTGTCTGTGATACTATTTTTTTTCCCAGTGCTCACCTGACCACATGGATTTACATCCAGGCTTCCTTTTTATCCAGCAATATATGGTAATTTAACCCTTTTTTGGAGGCTATAGACATATACATTCCCTTTCTCTAGCCCCCCCCCGCGCGCGCGCACACACACACACACACACACACCGACCCTCAAAGTAGTAGTTTAACTGGCAGCCTATAAAATATTGAGATTCAAAAGATTAACTGTAGTTGGTGCAAGGTGGTTCTGAATCTACACCTACTACCTGTTTTCACTATGCAAACAAAGTCTCCTTTGATATTCCCAGCTTCCAGAGATGCTACAGAGGAAGAGAAACACCTCAGCATGACAATAATGAAATATTGGGCTAACTTTGCTCGAAATGGGTGAGATTCATGGCTTCTTTTCAAATAGAGAATTTGCTTTTTAGAATGTACAGCCAATTAAAAAGCCCAGTTATGCAGACCCCCGTAATGTTTCCGAAGGAGCTTCATGGACAGCCCTAGAGACTTCAGTCCTCTGCTTAATCGCAGAACAGGTACAGCATCGGTAGTGACAGTGCAAGCTGCTGCCCAGAGCCTCACTAAAATGTGTCAGAATTGTGACCTGGGACCATCTTGAGAGCTGGGAATGGAACCCAAGGCCTAATCTACATCTCACACTAGGTCCACCTAGCTACTTCCAGGACTGTGGGGAAAATTTTGTGCCCTATGCGACGTAGTTATGTCAACCTAATCCCCACAGTAGACGCCGCTAGCTCGATGGAAGAATTCTTCCCTTGACATAACTACTGCCTCTCAAAGAGGTGGATTATCTACATCAATGGAAAAACCCCTTCTGTCAATGTAGGAAGTGTCTTTGCTACAGCATCATAGCTGCAGTAGTGTAGACATACCCCAAGTCTCCTGCGTTCCAGTCCTACACCCTATCCTCCACACCACACTACCGCCTCACAGTGCCTATTATTGTGATGACTTCTCTGCTATGGAAGTGTTTGTATTAGAAACAAACCTGAGCCCACTAACTTATTTCACATGGTAATGAACAGCTATCAGAAGAAAGTGGCTTTGTTAGTCTGGGCTGTATTAAAACTGAAGGCCTAGAAGTTATGGACTATCCCAGTACCAGTCTATATCACCTCTGTATCACCTTTTCTTTCTATTGTGTGCAGAAATCCTAATGGCAAAGGTTTGGTGGAATGGCCGGTGTATGACATGAATGAACAATACCTGGAGTTGAATTTACAGCAGAAGAAAGCAAAGAAACTGAAAGGGAACAGAGTTGAGTTCTGGACAAAGACTCTGCCTGAAAAAATCAAGAAAATGAAGGAAAAGAAAGAGCATGCAGAATTATAATTCATAATATGTGGGGGAGAAAGGGCATGTGTGTGTGTCACAAAATAAAATCAGATACAATTGGTTTAAATGTGAGAAATTAACAAATTCTAGAGTCTTATCCAGAGATTTTTTTTTATACTGTTTCATGTATCTGGTGGAAGGGATCAGTTTGCAGAATGCTTTGACACCCATAGAATTCATTGCTAGCTCCAGCAGGGAGATCTTCCAGATAAGTTAAACAAGGCACTAACATAGATTTTTGACTTAAAGTCATTCCTTGGAAAAATAACTCACCGAAGGAGGATCAGCAAAGGTGCTCAAGAGTGAACTATGTGTGACAGGGTGCAGGGTAAAGGAGGACTTAACATCAGTTCAGCTCCTACCCTTGCAGAAGTGCCCCGGGAAGGACAATACATTAGGTGCTTGGGAAATGGTTGGCCCCCCACCTTAGGGGCATTTTATTTCATTTTCTTTTGTTTTTGTTCACCTTTTCACATTACAAATATGCATTCAGAGCAAAGACTTGCTTGACTGTATGTTGTTTCTGCTGAGTTGTTCCACTAATTTGCTCTTTTGCACTAAGCTGTGCAAGGCTAGACTGAAGCACAATTTTTCCTAGGCTGCATGTGACACACAGGACCTGCACAGTCTGCTCCATGCATTAAGATGGAGCAGATTGCTCCTCTTGGCTCACCAATCCTGCTCTTGGGTCCAGTGCAGCGTGGGGGAAATCAACACCCCTCTTCTCTCCTTTCTGCTCCCTTTCTGCCACTGTATTGAAATGTGAGTGCAGGGATTGGTACCATGAGATGCCCTTATTCAGCTGTGCAAAATTGAGGTGGAGGATTTTGTTATATACTGTTGTTGCTGGCACAGAATGCCCGAGGACAGCAACAGCGAGGTTCATTGCCCGGTGTGCTTAGCGCCATGCAGGCCTCATTATTACCGCTTGATACCGGTGTGAGCAGGGGGTTGCACACAGATAACTGGTTGCTTACATATTCCAATTGCACCTGGCTTTTGAGGTTGATCAGAGTTTAAACATGGAAGAAGTTTGGTTCATATAGGCCTAGTGCAGGAAGGCTTCATTGACACTTAGTGGCCTTCCACCCTCCCGAGTTACCTAGGGTTATGCCTAGTGACACCAACCCTATGCAGGTCTATGTGAGGCCACCTTTACTGTATAGCACTCGGTGAGGGACCCTCAAGATGGGTTGTGTAAAGTAAATGAGAACAGTTGCCCTATAAAATCAACCTTATTGTTCACCCCAATGTGGCTCATGTCTCCATTGGGACCTCTGGACACTACTTTGAAACAGTAATAGATGCATGCAATCCCAGAAAAAATAGAAAAGCTGACGACTGAAAATCTAAAACTCTTTCAGAACCTGAGACATTTAAATGAAAGAAGAATTATTCATTGAGGTTTATTTACAGTCTCTAATCTAACAACACATAAACTAAAGTCTCTGCCAGCAGAAAGTATTTCTAACTTCTACATATTTTCCGTGTGCCATCATAGCCTTGTATAGCAACTTGATTTATTACTGCTATTCAAGGCAACCGTCTCTGTTCAGTCTATTTGCCAATACAGCCAGCCATCCAGAAATAGTGGAAAAGGACATCACCCCTCTGTTTTCTTGATACGCAACTTTATAATTTTCACCACTGTCAAAGTCAGCAAGAATCCTCTCCGAAAGTCTGAGGAATAAAACTCTCAAGGAGAGAGTGTACATAACCATAAACATCTGCTTTAACTGAGCTATTATGCAAAAATATTATTTTCCAAAAGTTCAACTCTACAATGTTTTTCCATTCTAAAAATGTACCACGCATTCTTTGTAAGAACGTTTGGGAAAATACATGAATCAGCAAATCTAAATGAACCTGAGCAACAGTGGGGTAAGGGCGCAACTCAGCACGAATATGAGTAGGTGCGTAATCCGTGGGACTAGTTCCATGTTTAATTTTAGACATGTGCTGAAGTGCCTTGCTGAACTGGGGGCCTTTGGCTTCTGAACCAGCACTTGAAGCTAAATACTGACTTAAGCCATGAACTCCAGGGCACTCATGTTTGAAAACTGGGCCTTTAAATTGTTAAATGTAGGAGGAATCTCACTGGATCAGTCCACTCCATCTAGGGAAAGGCAAAAGATACTCAGAGCAGTTTGCCAACTTCTCAAAATACCTGAAGCTACTTCTCCTAGTGTACTGAAAGAAACGGCCCACTTAAATAAACACCGGTGCATGAAGTCAAATAATTTATGGAAAGCCCACCCTGGGAAATAGAATATTATCTTTTGACATCAATGCTCCAGAATGAATGATCTTTTGGAGCTAAGGCCTGTTGAATCACTGCCACAACAATTAGCGAGGGGGAAAGGCTATCTTGGAGTATAAAATCGAAGCCAGAAGCAACTGTTGATTTCACTGGTCTATGGTCTTAAGAGGGTTTTTGATATCATGGAATTATTGTACACCCCAAAATGAGCTACTGAAAACTACTAAACAAACTAAAAGCAGCTCTTAGTTGGTGGAATGTGCTGCCAGCACTAATGCAAAGGAAATTGCCACAATGCTTTCCCCTTCTCCCCCTCACCGCCGTTATTTCTCTAATAATACACTTATTGGACTGGAATAGTCTAAACTATGTTGAATGTTTACTCAAAGCCCAACACTGTAAAGTGCTGAGCGTCCTTTACTCCCATTATATCAGTCAATCTAATAACCTCAGAGTGAACTTGGGGGGAGGGATAGCGCAGTGGTTTGAGCATTGGCCTGCTAAACTGAGGGTTGTGAGCTCAATCCTTGAGGGGTCCACCTAGGGATCTGGGGCAAAATCAGTACTTGGTCCTGCTAGTGAAGGCAGAGGGCTGGACTTCATGGCCTTTCAAGGTCCCTTCCAGTTCTAGGAGACAGGATATCTCCATTAAAAAAAAAAAGTCACAAACACCTCAGAGATGAGATCTGACCACAGCTGCTTGCATAATATTTGATCAGCAATAGTGCAAAATTTTCAAGCCATTTGCCCAATACTGCTCTCGCTCACCCAGCTCTTGATGCAACATGTTTATATATGTCTACATTTTAGAAACCAGTATTAGCTATGCAAATACTAAATATTCCAGGAGGAAATTCGTACTTAGCCATCAATAAGATGGCCCCATGCACCCCAGTCCTCATGAGATCACAAAACACTGCAAAGGATGACAGGGACTTTTAACAAATATGAATGTGACCTCTTCTCCCTCCCCCCACCCCCCAACACACATCCCCCTGAATACAGCCAGCTAGTACGGCTGAAAGTTATGCCTGATTTATTTGTTAGGAGCCAAGTAAAGAAAATGGAAACATATTGCTTTCTGACTGCATGTTCTGTCAACTTAAAGTGTGCTATGGCCATCTGTAAGGGGGTCTCCTGCACAACCTGATCTGCCTTCCTACCTGGCTTCTCTGCTCGCCTCTCATTCAGGAGCCTGAACAGGATAAAACACCAGAAGCAGCAACTTATGGCTGTGCTAGGGGGTGCAAGCAGAAGGAGCTGGGGACAGGGCTGGCTCCAGGCACCAGCGTAGGAAGTACATGCCTGGGGCAGCACATGCTAAGAGGTGGCATTCCATCCATTCTTGGGGTGGCACAGTTCAGGCACCTATTTTTTTTTTTTTTTTTTTTTTTGCTTCGGCAGAGCCGGCCCTGGCTGGGGACAATGGGGAGAAGAAAGGCTGTTTCCCTTAACATAACTGTACAGCTGGCAGCTGTCCTGCCTGGTCATGGCTGGGAGAGCTTTTCTCTAACCCCCACCATCCTAGGCCCCCACGTACCTTTACAGAACCATCAGGAAATAAGTGGGTCATGTCCCCTATTCCATTCCCACACATGTGGCAACAGCTTGGGCTCCCATCCAGCCAGGACTGACCCATCTTGCACAGAAAAATGCCTGTCACCAATACCAATGCTACATAAGAGGCACATTTTAGATTGTATATTTATTATTCATATATGAACTAATAAGAAAGTGGCCTCTATATGCACAGGCTAGATGTGTAACAGAGTGCTGTGTTTCTGCAACCCCTGCCAGCATAACTCCCCATAGGGGATTGTGTCCAGCCAACAGAAGTTAAAGGAGCCCTGAAGTCAGGGCCGGTGCTTCCACTAGGCGACCCTAGGTGATCGCCTAGGGCAGCAGGATTTGGGGGGGCAACATATTGTTGCCCTTGGTGGAAATTCGGCGGCGGGAGGTTCTTCCACTCCGGGTCTTTGGCGGAAGGTTGGCGGCGGGTCCTTCACTTGCTCCGGGACCCACCGCCGAAGTGCCCCAAAGATGCGGAGCGGAAGGACCCCCCACCACCGAATGCTCAGAGGAGGAGCGCTGCTGCCTAGGGCGGCAAAAATCCTGGCGCCGCTCCTGCCTGAAGTTACTCTAAGATATGGTAAAAAGAAGAACAGGAGTACTTGTGGCACCTTAGAGACTAACAAATTTATTAGAGCATAAGCTTTCGTGGACTACAGCCCACTTCTTCGGATGCATATAGAATGGAACATATATTGAGGAGATATATATACACACATACAGAGAGCATAAACAGGT